GTCCTGGATATCGTGGAGCCTGATAAAAAATACATATAAAAAGTAGCAAGTGGTCTGTTTCAGTAGAACCATATGCAGGGATTGGAAATTCACCAAGACATAGGGCTTTTAACTCCTGAGTTTAGTCAGATTTCCATAAAACATAAGCTTTAGGAGAGAAGGAAACTTGACTAGAAATACCCATGATGGTATCCTCAGGACCTCGAACTGTGCCTGGCACATAGTGGGTTTTCAATGCACATTTCCTGAATCACTTACAATTTTGCCTACCTATAATACTGTTCTGTGGTTTTATTTAAACTAGTTGTCAGCATGGAATGACTTCTGCATTCTCTCCTGGAAGTGGGTGAATTTCCATGGTGAGCAATTCCTCTATATACAGTTTGCAAATCATTTTGGGAACCTTCCAAATGAAAGGCACTGTATAAATATACCCTCCCACCAGCAGCCAGCCGGCTTTCCACCGGGATGCATTTGCATCGCTTATGTACATAGTGTTTCATTTGGGGCATTGCTTTTATTTTTATGACCATAAAAGAAATATTCACAGTATGAACAATAATGTAAACTGCATTCAAGAAGATATATATTTGTATACTTTTATGATTCAAAACTTAGAAATCTGAAAGAAAAGCAGGCATGGCATTTTTCTTTCCTGTTGCTGTTTGCTTTTTCATAACATTCTTTATTATTCCTGAACTTTATGGGGGAATTTTGCTGAAATGCTCAAGTCTTTGTCTGTACATCATTTGAGAATATGTGGTGGTGGGTTCAAATGAATGTTGCTGGCAAAAGACCTGAAAATGAAGGGCGCTTGATTTTGCATTTATTCATGTCTGTAATAATAGTTCGCTTTAGCGCTGCCTTTTTGTGGATGGAGTCCTCTTCAAGGAGAGAAAGAGAAAAATAAGCAACCTTAGGTATAAAATACTTTCTAAGTGACTTAGCATGACAATGGGGACTTTCACAGATGGAAGAGACTTTGAAGAGACATAGTTTAGCCTTTCTAACAAAAGAGGGCCTGATTTCATAGAACATTGCTGGAGAGCTAGACTTTGATTTTATATCATACAGAAAATATTTAATGAACTTTGAAATAAATTGCCAACAGAGTTAAATCAAAACCTCTATAAATTATCTTTTTACTTACACAGAATCATCTGTATACAAAAGATGAACTGAATTATAACTCCTTAATTTATATATTTCCATAATTAAATTTAAATGGAATGAAATAATCTCACTCCAGACATATTTTCCATATATTCTAGCCTTAAGGATTTCATTAAAAAGAAGAGCTACTCTGAATATTTAGAGTATTTTTCTATGGCAAAACATCTAAAAAGGTAGACTAAATAAAATTCTGACTCATTTATCTGAAGAAAGATGTGAAATGTAGAAAATTAAATGTAAGCTACCCATAGTTAAAAGCAGACTCAGTAAGAATCTGAATTCAGTTCCTGTGTCCACATTTCTCTTCCATAAAGACAAAATCTGATTATTTTCTCACATTTTAGTACTAAAACAAAAAAGTAATTTTTGAAACCTTAGCAATAGAATAGAAATGTTAGGAAATAGTTCATTCGAATTATTTGTGGCTTATAAAGTAGATGTGGTTGCATTTTCTGTCTCCTCAGTCAGCAAGTTATTGTCACTAAACTCTAATTTCATCCTCCCAGTAATACCAACTTTGTCTCATTAAAATGTATTTCTTATTTGAAATATATTGATATTCTTTTTTATTGTTAGAAAATAAAACAGCAGTTCCTTCAACTGAGAAAAACTAGAAGCACAGAATTGATCTGCAGTCAGTTTTTACTACAAACCCCATAATAGTCTGGATTTTAGCCTACAATCCCCATGCTGCAGCAGCAAACTTACTGTTAACCCTGTTACTGGGGGGGGGGGGGGAGAACAGAACGTGCGAAAAGAACTATGTAACACTCAAGGATTCTGCTTGAATAGTAAATTATTAATTTTTGCAATAGTCTAGGACTTATTTGCTTTTTACTTTAATAAAAAAGGCATATTTATGGATATGCACACTACTTTTTCATCCTGAATGTCATATCACTTTAATCTCACACAATGCACCAAAGTATATACTTCTCATGTCAAAGCCTTTTTTTATATGCATCATCGAGTTGTATAGTTTTTGACAAACCTCCACCCCTACTCCGCCCCTTTGGAGGAGGTCAGCTTTATTCAGATTTTAAAATAAAATCACAATACATTGTTTAATGCTCTAAACATCTGCAAATGAGAATTCAATTCGGTGAAGTAATTAAAATTCTTAATTAGATGCACCTTGCAGCTGCTGTTCGTCTTAATTGGCAATAATGCAGCTACATTTTGTTCTGACACATATCTTCAGAAGAGTTAGAGAACTGAAGAGAGGCAAGAGGAAAGTGTTCCCACACAGTTCAAGACAGTTGGCACAAAGACGATCCCATGGCAACAAACAGGGAGGCCCACAGTTGGCTCTGTAAGATCCAGGAATAGACAATGCTTCACCTCGGATTTAAACAAACACTTCCCTTCCTGGATATGAAGAGAAAGCGTTTTAAATCATCTCTTGCAAGAGTAGAGAAATGGTCAAATGTTCACCTGTCTTTAACACACTTTTCAAAGCTTCTAGATCCTCTCCGCAGCCCATGCCAAGGTAATAATTAGAATTCTTGCTCAGTAACAAACTAACTGGCAAAAGCCCTGCCAATAGAGGACCTGATTTTTGTACCATAGGGAGCTGGAGTGGACCTTGGCAACCGGTTCATCTCAACGTGTCATTTTACAAACAAGGAAACTGAGGCCAAGAGAAATTCAAGTGATTCCCTCAGGTGATGATGGCTACTTAGTAGAAACTATACTCAAATCTAGGTATTGAGCCCACAGTCCAAGACTTCTAAACTTTGCTTGGAGCAATTAAATTGGTTCATTGGAGTCCCTTTGAAGTCTAGTTCATCGCTTAGATGGGTTAGGCAAAGGACCGTGAGAGAAGGTGTTGAGAATGTGGATTACATGCTAGGAGAGAAGACATTTCCTTTCACCTCTGGTTCTCAGTTTATTCTAGATGATAAGAGCCTGTGGGGAAGGAGAAGGGAAAAGAGAACGGTTGGCACGTAGGAGGTTAATCTGGGTGAGTTACCTCCTGGGAAACCATGTAACACTTGCCTACACACTTCAGCCAGATCTTCCCTCAGCTTGGATTGTAAGTTCCTTATATGGATCCTTCTCTAAAACTACAGATTGACCTCTCTATCCAGTCTCTTGGCCCTCACTCAGTCTCATCTGTGCCCTGACAGAGCTTACCTTGCATTAGTTTAGCTCGTATTTGACTGAATATTTGCAAGGGTTTGTTTTCTTGATCTTCAATTGTGTTTTACTCCCCACATTAAATGAAGATACAGTTCTCTAGGGCCAAGGCTGTTTTGCCTATTTATTGTTCTATTTTTGGTTTATCCTGTTAAACCTTACATTATAAAAGCTTTCGGAATACTAGAGTGGGTTAAGGTTTTCGAGAATCGGAGCTACAGGTGGTGTGTGAGTAAGGTTGAAGGGTCGGGAGAGGGAGAGGTGGTGATTGGCAGTGTTTCTCAGTCTCCAACTGCCTCGCCTGCCCCACTGTCATAAGTCAGAACCAAACATGGTGGTTGCACTGTACAGACTCGCCTAGAATCTTGTTCCTCCAAGTGTGGTCCATAGAGCAGCATTATTATGGTCTATGGACCAGCTTATTATAAATGCAGACTGTCAGGCCTCACTCCAGACTTACTGAATCAGAATCTGCATTTTAACAAGACACCCAGGTGACTATGCCTCTGTTCTAGTTTGTGAAGTACAGAACCACATGTATTATATACTTTCCCAAGGCAATATAAAGGGCACTGATTTTAAACTGAGCAAATACTCTAATATATTTGACCGGTATCTACTCTGTCCCTCTTTTCCCATCACGACTCTGTCTGAGAATCCCATTCCGCAGAGAAATCTGTAACCAGGCGGATGGGAGGAGGGTCCTTTTCAATCTCCTTTTGCACCCTGCCCCCTCACCCCTTCACCTCCTTACCCCCTACCAGAAAGCCTGCCACCAGCACCCTCCTCCCAAGCCCCACTCACTTAGGGAAGATTTTGATCCTCCCCAAACAGAAAGAGCAGCTGTGTGGAGAGTTACTGCTTGAAGACTACAATTTACATACCAATACAGGCTGAAGCACTTTGTAAAACTGCCCTTTAAAAACAATTATCACCTTGCCACCTGAGGTTTGGAGCGAGCGTCTAGCTCCCCGCTCCAGTTTGAAATCCGGCTTAAAGTCATACTGCGAATGATCGTGTGTGTGTGTGTGTGTGTGTGTGTGTGTGTGTGTGAGAGAGAGAGAGAGAGAGAG